AGGGAGGGGGAGAGGGAGGGGGAGAGGGAGGGGGAGAGGGAGGGGGACGGGGATGGGACAGGGAGGGGACAGGGAGGGGACAGGGAGGGGGACAAGGAAGGGACAGGGAGGGGACAGGGATTGGGACGAGGACAGGGATGAGGACGGGGATGGGACAAGGAAGGGACAGGGATGGAGACGGGGAAGGGGACAGGGATGGGGACAGCGCTGGGGAGGGTGGCAGGGAATGGGGGGCACACTCACCCCCGGGGCCGCCGCCGCTCCTGCTCCTGCCCCAGCCCCCCCAGGCGGGGGTCGCGGCTCGCCAGGTCCGCCAGGTTCTGCGGGGGGAAGGGGCCGGGTGGGCGGCGCTGGGTGGTCCCCGCGGACCCCCCCGGACCCCCGGGGGTCCCCCCCGCCCCCCGTACCTGCAGCAGGGCCGTGGTGCCGCGGTCGCCCTGCAGGAGCCGCCCGTAGAGCAGCAGCCACTGGCTCACCAGGCGCAGGATCTTGCGGCGCTTGAGCAGCGCGAAGGCGGCTTTGTCCTGCTCCGAACCCTCCAGCGGCTCCGAGCGGAACCTGCCCCCCCAGTCAAGGGCACCACGAGGAGCGGGGACCCCCGGGATGTGCCCCCCGGAAGGTGGGGGGGTGCCCTCCCTTGTGGGAGTCGGGGGGGGACAGGAGGGGAAGGGTTCAGGGGACCGCGGGATAAGAGGGGTGGGAAAAGAGCTCGGGGGCATCAAGGGCAACCCGTGAGCCAAGCCCAGCCTGGCACACAGACCATGGCACCCAGGGACACATCCACTGACCCAAGCCCATCCTGGCACCCAGACTGTGTCACCCACTGCCACACTGAGGGATCCAACCCCAGCCTGGCACCCAGACCTTGGTACCCAGAGATACCTCCAGTGACCAACCCCAGCCTGGCACCCAGACCATGGCCCCTGGTGACACATCCAGTGACCAACTCCCCCTGGCACCCAGGGACACATCCACTGACCCAATCCCACCCTGTCACCCCGACCATGGCACCCAGTGGCACGTCCAGTGACCCAAAACCACTCTGTCACCCAGAGACACCTCCAGTGACCAACCCCACTCTGACCCCCCGACCGTGGCACCCAGAGACACATCAAGGGACTCAATCCCACCCTGGCACCCAGACCATGGCACTGAGGGACCATCCAGTGACCAACCCCAGCCTGGCACCCAGTGCAACTTGAGGGACCCAACCCCACCCTGGCACCCCAACCATGGCACTCAGTGCCACGTCCAGTCCCTTCTCAAACCCCTCCAGGGATGGTGACTCCTTTCCAAACTGAGGGGCTTCGTCTCTGGGATGAAGATCTTTGATTCCCGGGGGTGTTTCACCTCGACCAGAACCTCCAGCCCCTCAGCATCCTTCCCAAACTTCCATTTTTGGGACAATCTTTGGTTCCTGGAGGGGTTTCGCTGCAGGGATCGACCAGGACCTTCCCAAACTTTCATCTTTGGAATGAAGATCTTTGTTCCTGGAGGGGTTTCACCTGGACCTGGACCTGCTCCAGCCCCTCAAGATCCTTCCCAAACCTCCATTTTTGGGATAATCTTTGGTTCCTGGAGGGGTTTCATCTCAACCCAGACCTCCAGCCCCTCAACATCCTTCCCAAACTGAGGGGCCCAGCCCTGGGCACAGCCCTCGAGGGGACAATCCCTGCCCTGCTGCCACACTGTTCCTGACCCAGAAACACCAGGATGCCACGGAACAATGCCCAGAATCACCTCCCTGCTCCTGCTGCCACACTATTCCAGATCCAGGGATTTTTTGGCCTCCCCTGGGCACCCCTGAGCTCCCGCTCAGCCCCCCCCAGGTCCCTCCCTGCCACATCACTCCCCCCCAAAACACCCCTTTGCCACAGCCCTGTGCCCCAGAGCCCCCCAAAAAAGAGGATTTGAGGTCCATCCGCCCCCCCCCGGGCCCTGTCACCCCCCGGGGGGGGTGTGGCCGGATCCCAGTCCCCCCCAGTTGCAGGTGCCAAAGGATACTGGTGCAGCAGAGCCCTGCAGAGCTGCGAGCTGGGCATGAACACGGTGTAGGTGAGCAGGAAATCCCCCAGCAGGGTGTCTGCGAGGGACAGGGACACTGTCACATCCCCGGGGGGGACACGGACACTGCCACACCCCCCTGGGGGGACAGGGACACTGTCACACCCCCCGGAGTCACACGGGCACTGTCACACCCCCCGGGTGACACAGACACTGTCACACCCCCCGGGGGGTCACAGATACTGTCACACCCCCCGGAGTCACACGGACACTGTCACACCCCCTGGGGGACACGGTGACCCTGGGGACACGCTGGGGACAGGGGGGATCACGGCCTGGCAGTGGGAAGGGTCCCCCTGCCCGGTACCCCCACAGGGGGCATTTGTTGTTCCTAAAGCCCAGGGAAACAGGTTGGAGCTTTGGGTGGGGATGGAAATCCCAGGGATTGGCGGGGAGGCGGCTCCAAGGATTTGTGACCC